ACATGCTGTCACACACAACTGAATCTGCACATCCGTGTAGGTCCTGGTGTCTGCACTTGGATGCACACTGTCGCACATGTGCAGGTTCAGGTGTTTTATTTCTCCACTTCCTTTAACAGAATGACAACACAGATTTGCGCTTCTGCAACGTCTTTCGGATGCACAACTCCCTTATTGAGTTACTGTAACCTGAACTACCTATGTGGATGCTATGGACACTGACTAGACCTAACCATGGAGTCCGCTATTATGAAGATATGATTCCTTCAATATATGATGCTAGACACTTACATTTTATGTATAGACACAACTTAATTTAGTTTTAGATGGAGCATGGAAGGATTAAACACCTGCCAGTTAAATCTTTTGCTGTCTGTGTACCACTGGGCGAATTTAACTTCACTTCCTGTGCCAGAGATGCCACAGGAATTAGAGGAAATCTCCCAAAAGTGAATTCAATTCCCATCTAAGACTGTTGTCCCCATTGGAAGATTTCGCCTAACCTCTTGTTCTGGGAGAAAACTAAAAAAATGTGTATTTCCCCTCATTTTCTTTCTCAGTGACAACACTCACCGCGACAAAGAGAGCAGTGAATCTCCTCAGTGGGGCAAAAGACAGACATACCAACTTAACAGAGGGCCTAACCCCTCCCAACTCTATCCAAAATCAAACAGATACACTTTAGGGCCCATTCACCTTAGTGTGGTGTGTTACTGCAGTGCATTACTAAGTGCGTTAACATGGGTTGCGTTTAGGCAGCCCATTGAATTCTTACTGATATTTCTATAGAGATCTATATTTTCTGCTTGCGGACTCAAAGTGCTTTATGTGCTGTTGGAATGACTCCATAACATAACATTTACTAACCTAAATCCGCAGCAGTGACGTGCCGTGCCTTCTGTGCTGGGTGAGGCCTCCCCCCAGCCTGCCAAAGCTCCACCCCTGTCCCGCCGAAGCTCCTCCCCAGCTTGGTAACAAACCTGTGGGGATCAGGAAGAGAGGAGACAGGGAGGAGCCTCCCTGTCCCTCACTTTCTTGTCACTGGTAAGGCATCATGGTCAATGTCCTCACTGTGTTTGTTTGTTTTTTGATTGGAGAGCTTGGACCAATGGCGCTTTGCCATTGGTCCAAGCCATCCACAGAGCTCACGCCCCTAACACAGTTTAGAAGCTGTATAATACTGGGTGAGGCTCTGCCTCACCTGCCTCCCCTAACCGCACGTCCCTGATCCGCAGTCCCCTGATACGCCAATTCCCAAGGCTTCCACGTTCTTTACTGCAGCGTAGGATGGTACTTGTAGCTGCTGACTTCTCATTTTCCCCTAGCCGGGCGAAGTTTTTAAATAAGCGCCAAACAGATTAAGGCGCAACTCCAGCTGACACTTTCTAAGCAGTTACATCGGGTCAGTTTGGGACATCCAAACGCATGGAGGGACCTCAATCAAATGGGCAATTTGCATTTTCCTTAAAAGCATCTTTACCTTGCTCTGGACCAGTCCCCAGAAGACTTTCTGCACAATGATATCTATTAGAACAATGGGAGGAAATAAAACAATCATTTAAGATGAGACATTTCATCCCGCAATGTTATGTTATGGAGTCATTCCAATTAAACTCTCCCTGGAGGGGGCTGGCTACTCCTGCTCCAAGCTCTATCTCTCTTCTGCAGCCCCAGCTAATGAAGCTTCGTCAACTGCTGCCACCGCATGCATAATAAGACCCCATCTCAGAGGTTACAGGACAGCATCACTCGCTGCTCCTGGGAAACATCTTCCATGAATTTCTAATTATAAGTCCATGTTCGAGAGGGATTAGCATCACGGCTGAAAAAAAAAAGAGCATTTCAATTAGGGAGAGGAATTCAATTTCTTTGTAATCGCTGTTTGTGCAGGCGAGGTGTTTGGGTGACACCGTTATACATCACACGCCGGGTGCATGCCTCTTTATAGAGATTTAAAAGGTACCAAAACTATTTGAACAACTTTGTTAAAACTGACGGGATCATTTCTCAGGTGAGATTTTAATAATGTGTTAAAAATGTTTAAACAAAAGAAAAAAACTGCAACAAATTTTCCTAACAATTTCTACTGTAGGGAAGGACAGTGAACTGTACATTATACTAGGTGGCCTATTTAAAGCTGAACTCAGAGGCAACTCATAGCAATTTTCATTTAAATATATTCCTCAAAAGCCACAAAGTATAAAAATGCATTCAAAACCCTGATATTACTTTGGAAAAGCAGCAATGACATAATTAATGTGCTGAGCATAGACTGTACAGAGAGCAGAGCGGTGGGAGGGACCCAGCAGGCTCCACTCACTACACTACTACACAGATCTGGAAGAAATACACAAAGCTTTTCAATTACACACAGCTGACCACCTTTACTGGGGCATTCTTTCTCTTAATGACCACCTGTGCTGGGGCATTCTGCTTCCCACTGACCACCCGTGCTGGGGCATTCTTTCTCTTAATGACCACCTGTGCTGGGGCATTCTGCTTCCCACTGACCACCCGTGCTGGGGCATTCTGCCTCCTGCTGACCACCCGTGCTGGGGCATTCTGCTTCCCACTGACCACCCGTGCTGGGGCATTCTGCCTCCCGCTGACCACCCGTGCTGGGGCATTCTGCCTCCCGCTGACCACCCATGCTGGGGCATTCTGCCTCCCGCTGACCACCCGTGCTGGGGCATTCTGCCTCCCGCTGATCACCCGTGCTGGGGTATTCTGCCTCCCACTGACCACTGAATTTTTCCTTCCAGTGTCCGATTAGGCTGGAGCATTCTTTCACCCACTCTTGTATTTATTCTCTTGTATTTAGGTAGTATTGGCTTATCCTGGAGTTCAGCTACTAATGTAGAACAGATGTCCCAATTCCCTTGATGCCAAACAACCTGCTGGAACCACCAACTCCCCACTTCCTCCAAATAACCAGACTACACCTTTTGATGGAGTTAAATAGCCATAGCAGCCTTTTATTATACATATATTAAAACATGACAGAACAGTAAATTCAAGCATGAGGTTTCAAAGGTCTCTTGAAGGCCAAAATGATTCACAGTTCTTTCCTCATCCGACGATCTCCGACTAAAGCCAGTGAGACCCCCTTCCTCAGACCACCACAAAGGCTCCGCCTGAACTTTGAACTTGACCAATTGGTAAGTGACCCTGCCCTGTTAACTTGTCCCTTATTTAACTCTTTATTCATTGTATCCCCTCTTCACATAGTCATGTCAGCCCTTTTTTTTGCTTTGGGCCCAACTTTAAAGCAGAAGTCCAGAAATAAACACCCTCAAAACCCTGGAAGAATGCCCCAGCCTAAATAGACCGTGAAAGGAAAAATATCCCAGCATAGGTAACCAGTAGGAGGTCCTGCATGTGCATGAAAACTAGTCATAAGAAAGCACTTAAAGGTTTAACCAATCATTTTTGTAGCAAACGAATTCCTTCAGGTCACTGTAATATGGGTGTGGTGGGGGTGTGTCCATTGTGCATGTACTGTACTTTGTGCTATAGTGTGTCCCTCTTTCCTAATTTGGGGGGTATGCTTTAGGTGGGGTGGGGTGGGGAAAGCACTTTGAAAGTGCTCTTGTTCTTTAAATCCTTTGCTGCTATATACAGCCATTATTGCGCAGGGCCGACTCAGTGCTATGTAAAGGTTTTGGAATATGGACTTTATATTATTGATTAATGCACAATGTAAAACATGCCAACAGCATTATTTATAACCACAGTTCCATTTTAACATTATTAAGTACTATATACATGCTGGTTGGTTGACACACGTACTGCTTTTTCAGCACTTTATTGAAGCAAACCTGTGACATAATAAACACCCTATTGGCTAGAGAGGATTTCAAAACTTCCCCAGAGTTCCATATTTGATATTAAAATCAAATAGCAGTAGATCTGTCCATTTTGCTCATGGACATCTCCGGTGACCTCTCCCAGCCATTGGAAGCATGCGTACTCTTATTTCATCTGGCTGGTATCACTAGCCCCACAATGTAGCAATGTGCAAACACTAAACAAGATTAACCTCATCAATAAGTGACATTACCAATCAGTCGCCAGCTAGTTAGTTATCTTTTAATTTGTAAAAGCAAACAGGTGAAACCTTTATCACCAACAATTCATCAAGTTGGCAGGGACGGTGGACCATCTTTGGAGGGGACATATTTGCCTTGTGTTGGAGATGAACTCCAGGATAAAGCACAAAAGTTAAATGACAATAAACTCCGGAGTTAAACCTTAAAATGCATTCAGGGACCCTAACTATTACCAAAAATGTATCTTATTTTTGTATCACTCGGCTGTAGATCCTCAAATCATCTCTGAATTGGTGCTGACACTGTCCTTCCATATGGAGGGTGGCTACTTTTGTTCCCCATGGTCTCTGTGTGTTGTAAAGTAGCCACCGCTCCAAGCTCACTCCCGGGATAGACTACAATCTCAATACAAATTAATAAACTAAACGTGAGATTGTAGTCCATCACAGGAGTGATCTTGGAGCGGTGACTACTTTACAACACACACAGAGACTATGGGGAACAAAAGTAGCCACCCTCCAGAAGGAAGGACAGTGTCTGCACCAATTCAGAGATGATTTGAGGATCTACAGCAGACTCTATCCAAAACAAAAAAAAACAAAAAAAGTTTTGGCATTAGCTTTAGTTTACTAATAAGGATTTACTGTGACTTCAGTTGTTTCAGTTGGTTTGCAATAGCCTAAAATTGGTAGGCTACTTCGGCACTCCGGCCCCTGCCTCTAAGAGTCATGCCTGTGGCTGTCTTGAATTGCCTAATGGGACTTGTAGTTCCACCACAGGTGGAGTGCTGAGGTTGCCTAGCTCGTCTCTAAAAGATAATCTGGCCCTTTATTTCCTTTCACCTGTCATTGCTAAATTCTCTACAGAGACGGCTGCCAGACCCCTCCCAAATTTCTGGAGGTGAGAGGAGGTGTTCCCAAACTGCAGCCAGGTTTACCATTAACCACTGGGGAATTCTTCCTTGTTTTCCTGTATTGATGAGATTATACGTACCTTGTCCGCACAAGAGACGGTACACCGCGGGGAGCCATGCTGCGTCTAGAGCTCGCCTTTCTCCTGCTGGTCTCACTGGGATGCATTTCCTGCCAGTCAGGTACGTCCTATTCGTGTATATCATATTTATTACATTTATTAATATTTGAAGGATGTTTACTTTCATTACATGTGCAAAGTTTGTTATGTTGCTCTTATTAGACTGCAGTGACTACACCTTGTCTATTTTGGGCCTCATGCATGTGGGCACATTGGGGCACGCAGTGTAAAAATGTGGGCATTGTTCCTAGGTGCTGCTTACGGTACCCATAGACATGAATGGTGCAGGTATATGCTTGTACTGGTGTAAAACGGCGTATAGTGTACAGACATATTTCCCAATCGCAGACTACGTCCGTACGCTATCCGTGAGTACCAGGATATACCTGCACGCAGCCATTAGTGCCTATGGGTGGCCAGATGCAAAGCCTGGGCTTCCCGAAATTTTAAGATTGGATGCCCAATGATCCCCTGTGTATGACGCTTACTTTTTAAAATGCTGATTTTTAAAACATTTATTTAATATTGTTATTTATAGTGCTGACAATTTTATGCAGCGCTTTACATGCTGAACATGCATATCAGTCCCTGCCTTCAAGGAGCTTACAATCTAAGGTCCCTATCTCACATGCATACATGGGCCAATTTAGACAGGAGCCTATTCACTTTCCAGCATGTCTTCTGAGTGTGAGAGGAAACCGTAGTACCCAGAGGAAACCCACACAAGCACAGGGAGAACATGCAAACTCCATGCAGATAGTGTCTTGACTGGGATTTCAACCGGGAACCCCCAGTGCGGAAAGGTGGAAGTACTAACCACCGAGTAACTGAAAATATAAACTTTACTAATCAAATAATGAGAGAAAATAACTAATTTTCAAACAAGAAAAACATTCTCATTGTTTCAATTAGGGGCTGCTGCAATCACAAACTAATTATATTTACCTCCTTTCCTTGCAATGAGAGAGCAGAAGGTATTAGTGTGGGGGCTGGCACCTTTAGAATCGTGTGCCCATTCACCCCAGTCTATTAAAGTAACTAAAATGTTCTATTTTTAGTTTTGGATGTAGAGAGGGAGAGTTATAACTCCTGTCACCTTTTTTTTTTTTTGCCATCTGTATTCCATTGCGGAGATTTCCTTTCACTTCCTGTCCGATAGACACAGCAGGACATGAGAGGAAATCCTTCCAAAGAAAGAGAAATCCCTGGTGGTCACCAGGACTAGTGTCCCCATTGGAAGATTTCCCATCTGTTCCTGTTCTGGTGACTAAAATATTGTATTTTCTTTCCCTTTCAGTGATAATGGTCACCAGGACAAATAGAGAGGGTGAATCTCCCTACTGGGGAGCAATAAAAACCTGAAGGGTGATCTAATCCCTATTCACTCTATCCAAAGCAAAAAAAAAAAAAGTTTTGGCTTCAGTTGTCCTTTCAGTTGACCCTTCTGCTGTTTTTATTGCATAGGTTCAGAAGAGTGGTGGCACCAAGATCCTGATTTTTTAAAAAGTTTTCTACATGCATCAAGGTCCATTGACTTGCATTAGATGCGAGGGTGATGAACGGACCACAGGCGTGCGCACAGGGGGTGCCAGATGTGCCCATGCACACCCTAATCATAACCAAGTGCAAAATGGAAACCGCAACAGAGGGCACCATGTTCTTAGTCACTGAACTGGTGGAGAGATTACAAAGATCTCTCTGTTACCAGCTCAGTGATACAGAGCACAGTAGCACCTGCCACTTACATTCCTCACATAGCCACAGTCCTCGGTGCCTGGGAAGCTGCGAGGTAACGTGGCTGTGGCTCCCCAGGCTTCCCATCCAATCAGAAAGTCAGGGCGGGTGGTCACATGACCACCTGCCAGGCTCCCTACTTCATTATTGCACCCCTGCAGGAAGAGGTCAGAAACAATTGGAAGAGATGGAAATCCGGGGTGCCTCAGGTCTGTGTATGTATTTACTCTATGTAAGATATATATATTAGTGTGTATACAGGTGAAACTCGAATAATTAGAATATCGTGCAAAAGTAATGGCAGTAATTGCTGCAAAAGGGGCCCAAACCAAGTACTGAGTACATATGCATGCTTATACTTTTCAGAGGTCCGATATTGTTCTATGTACAATCCTTGTTTTATTGATTGTATGTAATATTCTAATTTTCTGAGATTGTGGATTTGGGGTTTTCATGAGCTGTAAGCCATAATCATCACAATTAGGACAAATCACGGCTTGAACTATATATGTCTATCTCATATATTAGTTTCACCTTTTTAAGTTGCATTAGTGAAATAAATGAACTTTGCACGATATTCTAATTATTCGAGTTTCACCTGTATATATGTGTGTGTGTGTATATATATATATACACACACACACACACACACACACACACACACACACACACACACACACTGTATATGCATATATATAGACGAGTGTGTTTGTACCTTTTGTGTGCACACATTTAGAATATAGGCTGCGCACGCCTATGTGAGGGACGGAGCATAGGGGGAGAGAGGTGAGTGTCAACTGCTGCAGGATCAAGGAATATGAGGACTTAACCCTTGCAGTGCAGTGGTAGCCTTTCTGTTTGTGATTTGCCCAGAGTTCTTGTTTAAAGCCTGGCAACAAAGGAAATGTCCCCTTCTCCCTCCAATGGTCATTTTTTTCAGGAATGAGCCAAAAGAGAGGACTACTTTCCTTCCTTCACAGTCCTGCAGACTGATCACGTCTCGAGAATTATTCTCCTGCCATTTAGAAGAATCAACACATCAGCTTCTGCCCCATTACCAGTCATTCTGTGATCATTACCCGGCACAGTTACCAAACCAGGGGAAGAATTGTTCCGTCCCTGGCCAACAATGTGTTAAATCAAAGTGCAATGTGCATGTCCAATAACTGCAACATGTATACGACCAACAATAGAGTTCTGTGATGTATCTCCCTGAACAAGGAATATGATCAGGAAACTGATCCTGCATAGAAATGTGAAAAACTTTGTACAAGACGTATGCCGGTGAATGTGAGTCTCGGTTGGACGGAAGCGGTTATGTAACAAGGAAGACAAAGGCACCATTGTTCCACATTCTTGGCCCATGCAGCTGAATATGGATGTATTCACAGAAATGATTTTTATTTATTTACTAGCTAATTACATATAATTTTTTTTTATTTAATGGTAGCCAAATAAGAAATAACTAAATAAATATAAAACCCAACATTTTATTGTATCTGCAAATGTAAATCATAAAATATTAAAGAACTTTACTCATATCTTCAAAATAGCAACGAACACACCTTTAGAAATGTTTAGTAATGCCAATCTACAAACACATACTTCTAGATCATTGCCGGCTTTGTATTCTTTGCATTCCTTATTTCTCTTTTCTTTCCCAAACTTCTGGCAGTGGCCATGTTAACTAAGGGCAGGTTACTTGATCTCCCTTTACTTCCTGGAACTCTGGCACATGTGACTAGGACATGTGATCATGCATATTATCTCAGGGGAGGAAAATGCCTTTCCCTGAGATTACAGATAAGATTACAGATGAGATTTCACAGCAATGCTCGGCTGACGTAACCTTTCCAGGATGCAATGCTTGGGTACAATTACATCATTTGTGCCAAAGTGGACCAGGAATTGGAAAAAAAGAAATTGAAGGGAAATGAAAATATGTTTGTTTAGCTAATGAATGTAAGATGACACCCAAGTGACGGTAGGACTTGCCCCATAGATAATACTTTTATTTATTTCCTGCTTGGATGGATAAATATAGAATACTAAAAGGAATGAAATACTTGGAGAAAATGCTGCTGAAGGCTCCCTCCAGTGCTGATCATGTGATCAGACTAGACCTAAGGGAGGATGCAGCTGTTACTTTGTAAAGCGCTGAGAAAACTGTTGGTTGCTATTTAAATCAAGAGTAATAACAATACTAATAATTAGGGATGCACCGATACTGGGCTTTCGGTATCGAGTACCGATATTTTTTTTTCAGTACTCGCTGATATTAAATACCGATACCGGAAGTCCCATTAAGGAAGCCGCGTGGTGTGTAATGACTCATTAGCCGGGAAGCCGTCTCTATGCTCCCTCACCAGTCCCTTCCTGACCAATCAGGAAGCTGGGCGGCGAGTCATTACACGCCGTCTGGCTTCCTGATTGGCCGGGAAGCCGGCTCTATGGCAATTCAGGAAGCCGGGCAGCGTGTAATGATGCGCTGCCCGGCTTTCTGATAGGGATAGGCATCGGGAGCATTTGGGCAAGTACGAGTACTCACCCAATTACTCGGTATCAGGGCATCCCTACTAATAATAATGACGACTCCTCCGAACGAATCCGAATGTTCCTTTAATGAAAATTCAGATGCATGCTAATTTCGTTCAAAATGAACTAAATTGGACATGTGACTGTTCTCTGGCCAATCAGATGGGGTTTATTTGGCTGTTGTGGGTTGCATTACAGGCACAGTCATGTGACTTCCTTCCTGAAATGAAGATTCGGATGGATCCGAAATCCGAGTAACAAAAGAAATAAAAATCCGAATTGGTCTGAAACTAAATGAATTTTTTGCGGAGTTACATGTCTAAGGCTAATATTTGTCTTGCAGGTGCAAATAAAGAGGTGAGGAGGATTCCCCAATGGGGCACTGGTCTCATAGCCGTGACAGTTTTCCTCTTCCTTGTCCTCGTCTTCTACGTGGCCAACATCTTATGGAACAAAAGATCAAAGTAAGTTTCCTTCAAAGCTGGACTCAAGGCACAAGAGCTATACACATAACAATATACACATATGAATTCATACAGTATATGTCTGTGAAATACATGTATGTTTTACCTACGCCACGGTTCATTTCTGTCCATCCAGTTTTACACAGCTCTGCTACGCAGCACAGTCCTGTCTGGCAAAGTGGGGGGACCTGATTTTTCTCTGCTACAGTTAAAGCCCCTCTCTGTGCAAAGAAACCCCGGCACTGCAAGGGTTAAGTACTTGTTTTGTCTAGGGGACTAAAAAAAAGCTGTTTTACTTACCTGATCCTGGCTCCCGTGGAGGTCTTCATTTCTTCTCTACCATTGTTTTGGATGTTGTTATGTCCTTCGGCATCCTCGCATGAAGTCTGATTTTAAAATGCAACTGAAGACAAAGTTGTGGATAGAGTGGAGAGGGATTGATCCCCTGTTGGAGTTTATAGCTGTGCTATAAACTCATTCTATCTGTCCCGGTGATCATTATCACTGAAAGTGAAAAATGAGACACAGATTTTGGGTGTCATCAGAACAGGAATTGTTGGGAAATTTTCCAATGGGGACACTAGTTCTCGTGTCTACTTTCATTATCTCACTGCTCAGAGTAGCCAGAAATCTGCACAAAGGCCTTCCCCAAAGAAACGGCTAACAGGTAAGAAAAAATACACTGCCTGTCCAAAAGCAAGTCACCACCTGGATTTAGCTAAGCAAATCGGTCGGAGCCTTCCACTGGATAATCGGTCTAAGTTCAGCAATGTTATGTGCCCAAAAATAAGGTCAGCTGTCTACCTGAATATACTGAATGACCAGGTTTTTCCATCATTGGATTTTTTCTTTTCTGTTGGCACATTGGGCATATTCCAAGATGACAATGTCAGGATTCATCGGACTCAGATTGTGAAAGAGTGGTTCAGGGAGCATGAGACATCATTGTCACACATGGAGTGGCCACCAGAGTCTAGACCTTAAAGTGACATTAAACCCTCAGATTTTTTAACATAAACCAATACTGTAATGTGTGCCTTACTGTAATCTATGGTTGTTTCCCTTCTCTTTGCTGCTCTTCCTTTTAAATCCTTATCTCTTCTCATGCTGGGGGAGAACTTCCCTTTGCAGCTGAGTGCCTCTTCCTGTAGTGCTGGCTCAGGTTGTGAACCTGCACACAGACACCATGTATCCATTCCAGAGACAAGGCAGTCTGCTGCAAAACAGAAGTTCTGCCCAGCATGAGAAGAGATACGGATTTAAAAAAAAGAGCAGCAAAGAGAAGGGAAACTACCATGGATTACAGTAAGGCACACATTACAGTATTGTTTTATGTTAAAAAATCTGAGGGTTTAATGTCACTTTAACCCCACTGAGAATCTATGGGATGTGCTGGAGAAGACTTTACACAGTGGTTCGACTCTCCCATCATCACTACAAGGTGAAAAATTATTGCAACTCTGGATGGAAATAAATGTTGTGACATTGCATATAAGCTTATCGAAATGATGCCACAGCGAATGCTTGCCGTAATCAAAGCTAAAGGCGGTCCAACTAAATATTAGAGTGTGTGACTTTTTTTTGGACAGGCAGTGTATTTTATTTTTAGTATGCTGTGTGAATGGGAGCACATACCAAATATATAGAGGGGTTTTCTCAAATTTGACTACAAAAGCGTAGCTGTACGTTAAGACATTTGTTTAACCAGAGTTGTCAGGTTAATCATTCAGTATTAATACATTCTGCAATGGAGTGTTAATTGCTTGCAACATAGAAAAACAAAGGCTTATGTGATCCATGTATAGTTTACTTAGTGACATAGGAGGGATTGTGTAATAGAAGGTAGTTGTACAATGCAGAGTGGTTTTACCGACACAGGCGCACCCCACCCTCGTAACATCTCCTGTCTGTCTTTACTTGCTGGCCCGCTTCTGTGAATAAATGTTTATTAACACACATGACTAATCTGTATTCTAACAGAGGGCAGAGGACAGCTTGGTGGGTGGAAAGAAAGTCACAGACCACAAATCATGGCCTTAAAGTGAACACGTTGTGAGAAAAATTAAGCGGCTGCCATTGTTGTCCTTCTCATGAAAATGTTACTTACCTGGCTATGGCCTTCCTATCATTATGATTTGTGTATTTGCATCTAGTACAGGATTGTTTTTTAACAATGGGCTGCACTACTGTCTGCCCAGTTGGGGAGATTTCCTCTTAAAGCAAAAGTAATGGTGCTAAAAAATTGTTGGGATTTTTGGCTTGCCAAAATATTCTTCTCTACCCAGCAATTTTTTTAATTTGTGGTGTACACTGTATGGCGCATGCTCAGCTCAAGGCTTACATGCTCAGCCCATTCATGGCATCTCTAAGATCCCGTGAATTGGCTGGGTGGCGTGGAGGATGTAACTCTTGTGTGTATGCATCATCAGTGTACACCCAATGGCCAAAGAGAGCTTCCAAGAACCCAAAGTGTTAGCGGATTAGATGGCAACGGCGGGGTACAGCGATGAGGACCAAAGATTGATCTAACAGTGCTGGAGAAGGGCACACTTTTAAGATAAGTGCCATGCACACTTGCACATTAAGTAAGTAATACTTCATGCATACTTGCACATTAGGGTAAAATCCCCCCAAATTTCTATTGGTTTACTTCCGGTTTAAGTTAGCCATACACTGGTTGGATTTTGGCTGAGTACTGCTGACTCGGCTGAAATTTAACCAGTGCGTGACCCCGTCAGGATCCCCTTGTTTGACAAAAGTCAATTTCTTAGTAGATTTTTGTTGAAGGAGTTGGTCCAAAAAATTTCAGTTGAACAGTGACTGACTACAGGTGAGTGACTACTACTGGCTACTACTGTAACTGACTCGGCTGAGGTCACTGTTCAGGTATTTCAACAGCGACACACCTGCCGCTATCAGAATACAATAGCCCAGTAGGGGGAGATTCCCCCATATATGCTGCTAGTGTGGATGGGAAAATCGAGAGCTTTTCCTCATTCATCCCACAGGTCGGAACGATAGAAAACCAGCCAGTGTATGGCTAATTTTAGTTCCTGTCCCCCTGACTCCACAGCCAAGCAAAGCTTCCCAACATGAACAAAGACAACGTGACCAAGTTTCTAACGCTCTCTTCTAAATTCAAACTCTCCAAAACAAAGGTTTTGGCTGGAACTCTACTTTTAAACATTACAAAAAAACATTGACCTGCTATTGATTTACATTAATTCAAACCACTATAAGACACAAAAACAAGATGTCCCATTTCAAAGGTTTACTGGTTAAACTGGGAAGATACCTGTAAGAATATAATTTTAGTAGATCACACAATGTTTTGGTGAAAGGTTGTCTGGATTACCCGGCCAGGGTCCTATGCTGGCTCATGGAATAAGCTAATAAAAGGCCGTATATTTCAGAGTCATAGGGGAGCAGTGAAGGCAGGAAGTCTGAATTGTAGTGTCATTAGTCATCCAATGACTTCTACAGATGGCAGTCCATTGTTCTGAATGCTTTATGTGTATTTTGTTTACCTCCAGGTCTAACCTAGAGTCAATCTCCATGGGAAAATTCGAAGACGGGGCTATAACCAATGGCAGCACCGGGCGTTACATTACAATGTAAGTGTAAAAATCCCTTAAGTAAATGGAAAGTGAAATTATATTTGGTCAATTTTAGATTTATTTGTTTTGAAGTAACGAATACAGCCACCACATCTAAGGGTGGGAAAGCTGACATAGATGACATTTTTGTTTCTTACCTAATCCAGCACTATCAGCTCATAGCCAACAGTATTGGGTTTGTGCAAGTCCAGGTCCTTATTTAGTGTAAGCAACCCTGCTCCCTGGAATGCCCAAGTACCCAGACACTTGCCCCCTGGATTGTTAGCTCACCCTCTTCCCCTTTCATCCTCCTAAGCATTACTATTGGCCCCATACTATGATGGGCAGCCTAAACTATAGAAAGAAAAGCTTATAAAGCTGGCACACACACTGTTAATTCCAACCGGCTGAAAAATAAGAGCAGCCAGTTGGAAGATTGTTGGCCGAGCAGTGGCTACAGCCAATTAGAGGAGCCAGGCAGAAGATTGGGTGCACCCACTGTTCGGCCAACAACCTTCCACCCAGGCCAGTTCCTTTTGATTAGCTGCAGCCCCTGGTCGGCCAACAAGCAGGAGCTGCAGTTGCTATTCAGGTTTTCCAACAAATGTGGGCACTGGCTGCCAAAATACAATAGCCGGCAGGGGAGATTACCTGAATGAGAAAACACTATGTGCATTGCCAGCTTTACACTTCATGAGGTAGAAACGGGGCTGCAGACATTCAGGTGTTATATCCTAAGCCATTTAAAGTGGAAATCTAGCCAAACCTTTCCGAAATACCTGCCCCATGTGCATGCATCTAAGTAGAATCAAATCTTATTTTTAAACATTAACACACACTGATTAATTGTATTGTATTAATCTGGTTATTACATTCCCATATCTGTGTATAGCCTGTAGATTTTTTTAGGCTGGCATTATTTTTGGCTGTCCTTCAGCACGGTGGTATCTGCAAGTCTCTTATTTTTGAGTGCTGGAAAAATAGTTTCAGTAAAGTGTAAATCTGGACAAATATGTGGACATCTCCAAGTGGCGGATGACTGGTCTCCACTCCTCAAAGGAACGCTATAAAGGATCATGTGACTCTGATGAGTAAATAAGGGGCTTAGGGTTTGTTCTGGTACATATACAGGTGAAACTCGAATAATTAGAATATCGTGCAAAGTTCATTTATTTCACTAATGCAACTTAAAAGGTGAAACTAATATATGAGATAGACTCATTACATGCAAAGCAAGATAATTCAAGCCGTGATTTGTCATAATTGTGATGATTATGGCTTACAGCTCATGAAAACCCCAAGAACCCCAAATCCACAACCTCAAAAAAGTAGATTATTACATGCAATCAATAAAACAAGAATTGCACATAGAACAATATCGGACCTCTGAAAAGTACAAGCATGCATATGTACTCAGTACTTGGTTTGGGGCCCTTTTGCAGCACTTACTGCAATTACTTTTGCACGATATTCTAATTATTCGAGTTTCACCTGTAGATGGCGCGGGAGTTCCTGGGTAGGAGGAGTGGAGTTTTTTGCCTGGAGATGAACCTGTTACTAAACTGGTAAGAGTATCTGTAATCTAGCAAAGAGGTTATTCCTATTCTGATGCTTTTTACATTTTATTTCAGTTCCAGTGATCATGAACGCGTTCAGCAGCACGCTTATGTAAACCCAATACAAATCACAGATAATGAACTTTCTACTCCTATGTAACCATCAACAAGTATTGCTATTGATTGCCATGTTGTTGACATGAAGACTTTCCACCATGGAAGGCAACATAGAGACATAATTATCAAGAATATCAAATCAAACCTCCAATCCTTCAGGATACAGATGGAAAATATTTTACCCAGACACCCCATGGAATCTGCAGTATCAGTCATGAGTCCTGGCTTTAAGTTTTGAACCAATAATACTGCTTGTCCTAAGCACTAATCATGGACATTCTGCATCTAGATCACATCACAGAAGTCAGTGTATCAGGACAGACTTCATCAGAAATGTATTACATCTAGGGGACTATTGCCTCTTTTGGATGCCTTGTCTAGAAACTGCAGCCAATCAAGTATTGTGAGGAATTAGTAAAGACAATTACAGTACAAAAAAAAAAAAATCTTACATTCCTCAATCCAGAAATTATTTTATCTGCAATTCCCGTGTTAGCTATTGGTTTACTGTATTCTAAATGTTTAAGCAGTATGAAGGTCTTGCTGTTCTAAAGTTGCACTTTGGTCAAACCATTTATTTTTTATTTTTGGATAGAATTAGGATTAGACCCTGTCAGGTTATTTTTGCTGTCTGTGGTCTACTGGGGAGGTTTACCCTCACTTCTTTCTTAATGATGTGACAGGATGTAAGTGTAAATATGTAAATGTCCACAAAATAACGGGAACTCCCACCATTCCACGTTTTCACCAGAACAGGTGCACCCAATGAAAGATTTCCCTTCACATTTTGTTTATTGACAATCAAAACATTCTGGATTACTCCTCATTTTCTGTTCCTCTGACATTTGTAACAAGGGCAAATAGGGGAAATCACAGACAGTAATGAAAAAATATGACCGATTTTCTAACCCAGGGTTAGGCAACTTCAGAGCTCCCTCTATTGTGGAACTACAAGGACTCCTGGAGCACTTGTAGTACATGTCCCCTGGTTCCCTGATTGGCCGAGAAGCCAGCTCCATGCTCCCTGGTGATGAGCGAGCATGGAGCCGGCTTCCAGGCCAATAAGGAAGCTGTGCAGTGTTTAATGACTCGCCGCCCGGCTTCCTGATACCGGAAGTCCTGGTATCTGGTTAGGCATCGGGAGAATTTGGGCGAGTAAGAGTACTCGCCCAAATACTCGGTATCGGTATCGACACCGATACTAGTATCGGTATTGGTGCATCCCTAGTTATCAGCAAAGTCTCTCTACTTTTTCTCTTTTACTGCCCCATTTATTCACTTCAGTCACTTAGTTTAAGTCTTGATAGGTAACCAATTACTCTTTTAATGTTTCTTTTAGATATACAGGTGAAACTCGAATAATTAGAATATCGTGCAAAAGTAATTGCAGTAATTGCTGCAAAAGGGGCCCAAACCAAGTACTGAGTACATATGCATGCTTGTACTTTTCAGAGGTTCGATATTGTTCTATGTACAATCCTTGTTTTATTGATTGCATGTAATAATCTACTTTTTTGAGGTTGTGGATTTGGGGTTCTTGGGGTTTTCATGAGCTGTAAGCCATAATCATCACAATGATGACAAATCACGGCTTGAACTATCTTGCTTTGCATGTAATGAGTCTATCTCATATATTAGTTTCACCTTTTAAGTTGCATTAGTGAAATAAATGAACTTTGCACGATATTCTAATTATTTGAGTTTCACCTGTGCATGTTGACATGATCAGCTTAATATATAGTATATAATCTAATCAATACAAGTTAATGTTTTAAAAACCTGTCACCTGTACACATGGTTGTCTTATCTGTTCTATACCTGCAGTATACAGCAGGGACGTGCGGTCAGGGGAGGCAGGTGAGGCTAAGCCTCACCTAGTATTATGGAGGGAAAAGCTGTCCGCTTCAAGTCTGAAGCTGACAGCTTTTTTTCCATTCAGATCGACTTGTTACAGGTTACACAGCAATGGCAAAGCGCCATTAATCCAAGCTGTCCAATCAAAAAAAGAAAAAAAAAGACCCACTGAGACCATCGATCTCGATGCCTCAGCAGTGATGAGCAAGTAAGGGACAGGGAGGCTCCTCCCTGTCTCCTCCCTTCCTCCTTCACACTAGCTTAGGGACCGGGTTGGGGGTGGAGTT